TCATTTGAAAGCTCATTCAGAAGGAAGCGTGGTTTATAGATGCTCTAGTATCAGTAATCTTGCGCAAACGTATCGTGCCTGGCTATCATCCATGTTTCTAAAGGCATTAGTTTCATATGTGGTCTCGTGGCTTTATCCATGTCATGGTGCGAGTACTTTTTTCAGACGATGCTGCATGTCTTCCACTTCATGACTGCGTCCTTGCAGGGAGAAGGCTTTGCATAATTGCACTAATATACACTACATAATATACACTTTCTGTGCTGCGTTTGCTCTTCTCCTTCGTACCACTATCCATGATCAGTAGGACATCACCAAGAATCCCACTGCCGGCCACCGAGAAAGTACGACCCCCCTCCAAGCTCAACTGAGTACGACCCCCCCCGTTGTTACTCGTAACAACGTAGGGTTGACCCTGCTTTGCAAAGTGGTCCTTTGGTATGGAAATCATAGAATATGATCGCAGAATGAACAAATTTGCATCCGATATCTCCCAAGCCACGGATATTACCTTGCGAATTGTCAAGCGATGTTGTTTTTCCAAATCTCGCTCGGCAGGACTTGCGCGGCACGTGACGTCTATAGGTGGAACACAACTGAACAACAAACCGACTGGCAGAGTTTAAAAAAAACATGCAGTGCTAGCGAATCAAAATGGGATGATGAAGATCTGCACTCAAATCCTTTTTTATGTTCTTTTATGTTCTTTGTACGTTGTGTCCTATGTTATGTTCTTTTTTTCAACAGCTTTTTCTTGTGTGCAATTGGAATTCATTACTCAACACTGGCTCAAAATTAGCAAAGAGATTTGTTTGCTGAGGGCCTTGCAACGTTTATTGAAGTTATGCGTAATTAGTACAGATTTTCGATTCTTTCCACAATTCAGGTGACATTATATTTACAAGACGAGATACTTCTGCAACATGAACACGCTGTAACAGTCGTTGCTCCACAAATGATAGCACGTCCCCTCGGGAGTCAAAGCGTCGTTCACTCGAAGAATTTTCCACTAACTAAGTGAGTGTACTTCACGTCTGATTTAGTTCGTACAAAAAGCTTCATTGTTACAGGGGCCGAAGTATTTTCATTGAATGTGCTTTGGAACAGGCAGTTCTCTCCTCGGTTGGCAAACTCCAAGCTATCATCACCGTCACGAACAGGTCAATTCCTAATTTGTGAAGCAACAAGTTCAATAGCTGATATTTTATTTCTAGGTGGAAGCAATCAATTAAGTACGTCCACATGAGCATTCTTAGAAAAATCGAAGCTGTCGGCTACTTCAAAGATGATCAATCAATAACAGACACAAAGACAGTTTTAATAAACACAACCGGTACGCTTCTTAACTGAAAAATTGAAATGTTGTTGAATGAGGATTTGTTGTAGTTCACTTCTTCTTTGGTTATTCAGCCTCGAATAACAGGACCTCTTCTATCAAGAGTGATAACTAGTAATAAATTATGGTCAGTGAAGTGAAGATTGAACCAACAACCTCAGTTCAAAGTGGTGGGGTAACAGCGATTGATAACGGTGGCGTGGAAAGTACGTACTTTTGACGCAACCGCACTGATGAAGAAACCAAGTATATCTACCCTCTATTTAGGATAACGAGAAGAGCGTCGAGACACACCACAAGTGACGACGGGTGAGAACAAAGTAGTTTTCCTTCTTGGCCGTCGTCACTTGTGGTGTGTGGTCTGCACTCGACGCTCTTCTCGTGTTTCGAAACAGAGTACACCTATCGGAATCTTATCCGCTACGTTCTATCTCACGTTGAGGGGGAGCGTGAGGTATTTCGTCCCTAACTTCACATTAATTGCCATCAGACCGCTTGGTCAAACCCAAGTGCAATTGTCGCCCAGTTTCGAGCCGCGGCAACGGCAATCTGCTACGATCGTGGACTATTCTATCCCACACAGAGCAGATTCTTCAGCCTGACCTCATCCGGGTTTATTAGTTTGAGAATTGGAAGAACGTGGCAGTTGTGTCAGCGAGACGATGTTCTCGATTTCTTCAATATGCACGTATGTATCCTTTGACCATTATAGGTGTAGGACTGCCATCGTCGAAACACAAGATCGCCGTTGGGGAGACGTACATATTCACTTCCAGTTTCAATGTACCGGCGCTTCCGCCAAGTATGAATGTGCCTGGTTTGCTGGAGACTTCTTATATGGTTAATATTGCCGTTGGTCGAGCACACAATTACGTGATTGCCTCGCTAAGGGTAAGTGCTATGCGTTGATCTATTTCGGCAGCTAAATAATATATATTTGTAATAGGTTCCGATCACTATTGTCACCAATATTGTTGATATAGATCCAGTAGTTCCTGCTCAGCGCGGAGGTTTGTTAAGCTTTTCGTACAAATTAGAAAATGATTTATTTGCAGAAAAACGTACAAGTAGCAAGGGTAAACAACGTAATATGTGTAGTGACTGCATATAGTAGAACTGCTGTACAGCGTAATGTGGGTATGCATACAACGAAAGCGGTGAATAACAGGGATCCTGATTTCAAACCATAGCAGTTCAGCAACAGTGTAAAAAAGCGATAAAAAGGAATCGATTGCAGATTTACTGATCGATTTAACACCACCAACTTGGAAGAAGGCGGCGCCAGCAATCGACCTCCTCGCGTAGAAAGCGATCGTCTAACTCTACACATCGTATGGTTTGTATATACAATGAAATGCATAAATCTTAATATCATAGTCTAGGAATATGAATCGATCAAAAGGAATTTGTCAAATTATCACGTTATGGCCCTCTGCAACGGTCATACGTCATTACTCGTGATTCGAGATGGTATATGGCATAGCGTATGATTTTAGTTTTTTTTTTACATCGAATTCATTCGCACGAAGGAAGCTAGTCTAGTAAAGGGCAGATGTCCGAGGAAGTCACTCTGTAAGCTCATTTGTCGTATGCAGGTAGCTCAGTGTTAGCTTAAAGAGAGAGGGATGGGATGGAGAATTTGGTCTTAAATCAAATTTCACCTACTGCGATACATAGGATCACAGCAACAGCAACGTTTTCCTGCTCCTGTGAGTGGTCTAGGGAGCGGTCCAAGTTTTGTATGCAGCGGGTACATGACAATGAAAATAATTGAAGTCGCAGTTACATACTATCGTGAAAGAAAATTATTCTGACAATATTAAGGGAAGGTTAGATAAATGTTTCAACCACGTGTAAAACATATTCATAAAGAAACACTAAAGAAAAATGTAGACAAACTCGGTCACGACGTATTTATAGTAACGGACACCGTCATATATACAGCTTCCTTCATGGCTGAGATTCGGTTGAGGAGTATCACGTGAAGTAGATGGATTGACGATTATCTTGACGGTACTGTCGCCCAAATCATTTGCTCCACAATGTTGACCATTTGAGCTGAAAACAAGTACAACTAGCATGCAGTGCATTTCATTAGTATACGTCCACCTCACTTCTCACAAAAATGTTCCTTGAAGAACTGGCAAATTTAGCAGCACACAACATCGGATTGACTGCATAAAAAAACAAGGAGAAATGGGCTTTCAAACACACAAGTCTTCGTAGGAATTTTTCGGAATATTTTTTGTTATTTTCGACTGTTCATAAAACATATATGTTCGACCAATAGTATGTGATACGAATCGAAATAAAGTTGCCTGTTTTTAGCAGGGAATAGGTTCTTAATTAAATCAAAACCGACACGTTTTGTCGCGATGAAGCCTGGTCTCCGTCTCCTTGTAGAAGAGAAGGCCTATATTTGGGCTCTCCACGATGCCAGACTCAGCAATCGAGAGATGGCCAAGCAATTCGGCGGAACTCACTGCGTGGTTTGCTTTACTTCTGCGATTTCGAAGAAGGAGCGACCGGAGGCTAGCGAAGGAAAGAGATTCAAGTCCTCGTTGTAAAACGTAATACATCGGGTATGCAACAGGTTGGGTTGAGCCAGAATCAAGTTTTCAGCTACATATTTCGATGGGATCACTGAATCCTCCTATGGCGCGCGCACGAGTGCGGAACCAAGCTAACAAAACATAGGGTCCCATAGAAGTTTATAATAATTTTTCGGATTTAAAAATTCTGCACAGATTTCACATTTTGGGAAGGACGGAGCTTCAAATTGCGGACGAATCTAATATTCTGGCCACAGAATGCTATTGTTGCAATGCCAACAAACAAGTACACGCTGCATCACTATGAGATGAAACCAAGTCTCTGCCAGAAAAATAGCAGTATGTGCTAACGTACCATTTTGGGTGACTTTCTTTTGACGCATCCCAAGTGTTGGAATGCAGCATTGAGAGCATCTGTCGAGGAGGTTTTGAATTTCTAACAATCATAATGTGTTGATGCGCAATTTTCGCATTCTCGACGGAGATGAGCCACGTACATCTTTCGCTGTGTTCAAGCAAGTGGCTACTGTACATGCACCAAATTTTCAATACTTGTTTCAATCACCAACTTTAAGTTACTGAATTTTCGCCTCAAAAGCAAGACGTTGTTGTCGTGCCCTGAATTTCTTCTGTTGCTCTTGAAAAAAGCGCATATAGGGCAGGGCAGAAGTGCGCTGCTTTGCGCTGACGCACAAATACATTGAGACCTTGTCGGCAAGGGTTTAGGGGAGAACAGACGAGGTCGCAACCTCAGATTCGAAACAGGATTCCTAACTTCAAATTACACGCTTGACGCAATCTCCGAGATTTTTATCAGATATGGTGTTCTGAAGCAATCCCAACGGAAATATTGCTGAAACTTGGCAGTATTGCTTCCTGTTGGTGCAGAGCATACGAGACTTCTAATACTTGTAATTTTTGTGTTATATCTAGCAATTCCTCCGTTGTGATCTAAAAATTGAAGTTGGCATGCTTTCTGATGTAATATATCTGACGACAGTTAGTCAGGACAGTTTTCAAAACAGTGTCTAGACTTCTTAAATGAATCCAAATTGCAGCCGCACTTGATAATTGGAACGATCACAGTCTAACTCATTAATTCATCGTGTCATCGTCTTCGACACTCTAGTTAGGTACATCTAGAGAACGAAAAACGAAAAATAACAAAATTTCGGGACAGAACATGTAGGCATCCAATAAAAACATTTTTTAAAAGTGCCCGTAATCGTGGAAGGCCGTGAATTTACCGGCAGCAGTATCTTCCACCTAAAGGCAAGTCAAGAAACGAGTCTTTCCTATACATATTAAGGCGAGCCCAGCTGTACAAAAAAGAAGTAACATCTCAGAGTTTATACTTTGAGACAAGCCTTTAGCATAATTTCAACACAAAAACAGTACTATCAAGCTCTTCTTCGGAGATAAACTTCGTAATGCGCTAAAGCCCGGTAATCGCGTCACAGCATGATTTCAACAAGCGCCTGGAATTACATAATTGAAATTGTATCAATGTAGGCCCATGCTCGTCCGAACAATTTCAAAAACTGAAAGAAATGTGGCGTGAATAGTTCACAATATAAGGTGCAAAACAGATGCAAAAATTTTTGTGATGGATCAATATTCAAAAACATCATATTCTCATAAAATGAGAATGCATCGTGCTGCCTGAAAATAGCTACCAGCGTAGGGGTTGTTACCGGGTCTGAATTGTTTCACAGCATGCTCTTCATAACAAGAGACTATCTAGAACTTTCCTCATTGGATAAACCCTTCTTTATGTGAACCGCGTAATTGGTGCTCCAGTTAGATGCATGTCTGGATTCAACGTGTGGATGTCTGTCTGCCCGTCATCAGAATGAACTGACTCATAATGCAGCTAATGGCGAAGCTAATGGCATCAAGCAAACAGGCCGCTAACAAATCTGGGTAGCTCGCAGGGCTTGCGCTATCAATGTTTTGCAATGGCATGATTGTGATAACACCTCAACGGCTATAAACACCTACTTAGCACACTTCCGGTCATTCCACATGGTGCTGCAGTGGCAGCTGGAGAAGCAGTGGAGGGAGGAGAGGAGGACAAGGAGTTAAGGAGGAAAACGTTCCCAGCAAAACTAAGAAACATTTGAGTGTCGAGATGTCTTTATAGATTATGTCGCCGATGAGTGCTGATTGTATACCTTTAAATAGTACTCTCGTAAAGACACATTACTAATAAGCAGACAACATAAGACGAAGCATATAGACATTATTGACCTCACGCCTTCGCTGTTGTCGCTCGCCAAACTCTTCATAAGCACGATTGGAACTTTGATAAGACTCTCACGAATTCTCTCCGATGATGAAATTTGGGGTGTGTATGGATGTCCTATTTAGTCGTAGCTTCTAATTTGGGTTACACTTTCTTGTTACTTACTGGACAGTTACGCAGCTCCCTGATTCTTCACCAAGTATGCTATACGTATGTCATGCCCACATCAGCAGTTCGTGAAAGAAGGTTGGATGCTTACGGAAAGGTTGCAATGGGAAGACGTTAGCATAGGGTGGCTATTCTACAGAGCTCGATCGTCCGTCATAGTGCCCTTACCTCGTATGCATAAATATATGTTTTTTATTTAGAGTGCACGAGCCTCCGCAGATACAGTCCATATCCGGAGACAGGGTGGGAGGGGCCATAGACGTGATTGCGGACTACACAAACTTGATAGATGTCGCAGCGATCAGCTGATTTATATTCGTTTATTTCTACTATTATTCGGATATTCTACTGTATTTTGGTATTCTCTGGCTTTATTCTACTTTTTCTACAAGACAGGTAAGTCAGTTTCATTAAAAATATGCAGTTTGCATGGGATTTGGTCCATCGATTTTTTTTAGCAAATGTCAATATTAAACGGCGTGGTTTTTCCCTTCCATGGATTTCTGTGCTTCCTTTCAGTTTTTTTTCTTGCGTTGCAAGCAGCTTTTATGGCAGTATCATTCACGTGTTCTTTTCATTGCCAAGAACAGTTTTTGACACTGCTATGAAGCTTGCGCATTAACGAACAACGCAAATTGCATGGACTTGCCAATATCGTGGGGCTTGTTATTTTTATTCTTCATTTTACTTTTTTCCTTTCGACTTGTTCTGCATCGCAGTATCTACGTGTTCTTTTGTTGTGTGGAACAGTATTTGATGCTGGTTTGAAGCAACTCGTCGTTTTGTGCTTGCATGTCATTTTCCAGGTACATGCTGCGTCGCCGTCCTTTTGCCTGTTTCGCAAGGTTTCTTTTTTATTTTTTGATTTACTTTTTTCCTTTCGACTTGTTTCATCGCAGTATCTTTTACGTGTTCCTTTTGATGTGTGGAACACTATTTGATGCTGGTTTGAAGCAACTCGTCGCTGTTGTGCTTGCAATTTTCCAGGTCATGCTGCAGTCCGCGTCCTTTTCTTGTTTCGCAAGTTTTTATTTTTTGATTTACCTTTTCCCTTTCGACTTGTTCTTCATCACAGTATCTTTTACGTGTTCCTTTTGAAGTGTGTGGAAACACTATTTGATGCTGGTTTGCAGCAACTCGTCGCTTTTGTGGCTTGCAATTTTTCCAGGTCGTGCTGTAGATGTTACAGCTCCACCGCATTCTGGGTGAGCAATTTCGAAATGCAACTTTTTCCATGTCTAGTTGAAAGGATCAAGCTTAATATTTACATCCAAAGCTATTTTATTCTGTATAAAGATTTACTTGTGAAGTGTTGTTGGTCGCTATTGCTCACTACGGCT